ACACTTAGTTGAATTTACAAATTTTGATTTTTTATAATATATACTTACATTAAAATTTTTTTAGTAAAAAGAGATAATTAGAAAAATTACATATTCATATCTATGATGTATTATGTTGTAATATCATAACATTGTATTACAACATATAAGTCATAGTAATTATGACATGTCAAATAATAGTATAAAATTTTTTAATTCTCACAATGAATAAGTGTCATTTAATAAAAAATCATAGTTCTCCAGAGCTGATTAAAGTCTATATTTCAAATTATATATAGGTTCCGTAAATGTATAATATGAAAATAAAAAAATTAACAAATTTCTACTATTGTGTTGCATTCATCAGTTTAAAATTTATTTATTTTTATTTGTGATAATAAAGAAGAAATGTAAAAAATAGCTTATATATAAAAATATAAACTTTTTTTAATGTATACATCGATTAAAATGGTTTCTTAAAAATTGCGATTTTAGTATTCAACAATTTACTTATTTCCAAGTAAGATTAAAAGAATTGTAGAACAATTAAATAATTAATTATATTTAAATAACCTTTAATAGAAAAATCTTTTAATATTAATAATGCTACATATTATTATACCAATGGTATTAATAATTCATGTCATAATTTATTGTTATAATAAAACCACACGAAAAAGTGATAAAAATACACACGTGTATTCTAAAAATACTTTACATGTTTGTAAACTATAATAATTATTACCATAGTTTATATGAAATCAAAAATCAGAAATCAAAGGCAATGAAAATTCTATGAATTACAATCATTTATATCTATTAGTATATTATAAAAACCGATCGAATTATGGATTTCAAATAATAGTTATAATATAATTATTTTTTAATCATTGTTAGCGACTACTTGAGATGTATATATTAAGTGTGTGCATGTAAATATAGATCGAAAAATATAGATTTGGAGAAAATGAGAAAAAAATATATACATAAAAACTAAATAATTTTTAGATTATTATTATAATTAATATAAAATTATATAAAAGGGTGTACATTTTTTTAAGTATTACCATTGCAAATGTAGTATTGTTTATTACAAGCATATTTAATGATAACTGAAAGTATAGAAAAGATTATATGTATATTTATTATAGATTTAAATATTTTGAAAATTTGCAGTTTAGCTATAAAATTTATGTAGTGTATTATATAAAAAAATAATACATTTATCATTCAATTTCATTGAACAATTTCTACTCTAAATTAAATTTAATTGTTTAAAGTATTTGAATAAGTTTTAATAAATTTTAATAACAAAGAAATTATTTTCAATAATAAATAGTTTGTATGTTCATAGTGTTGTATTGTATTGTAATCACTAATTGAAAGTACATTGATTTTTATGACTGTTTGTTTTTATTTTATGAACAATATTATAAAATTATAATTACATATATTGTATATATACGATATATATATGCATAAATTTTTTTTTTAATAACTTTCTATTTATATTTAATTAATTATCTGCACTCGTTTTTAATTATTCCTCTACAAATAATAAAATTTTTGTTTCAGTAATTCGATTTTTAAAAATTTAACATAAATATTTAGAAAATAAAATTTTCTCATAACATTCAATTTATTTATAAAGTCACACGTAAAAAAATTATATAAATATCTAATATAAAACGTAATATAACATAACGTAATAAATTTAACCGTCACTATTTATAATATTAAAAAGAACACCTGTGCATTTTTTAAATTATTGTAATAAATGAATATTTTCACTCAATTTAATTACTATTTAACTTTATTTAACCAAAAATTTCAGACATATTTATAAAAATATTGTCAAACTTTTAACATATAAATTTAAAATCCTTTACGAAATAAAATTGTATTTAGAAGTAATATTTAACAATTCGTATTAGAGTTGAACAAAAATTTTTTTCAATTTTCTTAATATATGTAGAATTGATTTATTAAAATTTCAATAATCATTAAAGTGGTTTAACTAAATACTAAGATAAAATATTTATATAAAAATAATAAAATTATTAATACAAACTATAATTTCATATAGAATTTTATTAATCGCTCGGATAATATGAATACATTTCATTATAAGTGGAAACATTGTTTGTTTAATTTATTTCATATACAGAGTACTACTAAAATCTGTAATAAATGGAAAAATCAGAACTAATTTGTTATTATAATTTCAAATATTTGATTTTTTACTAAAAGAATGAAGTCAATGTTATATATATCGTACCAATCAAATAAGCCATGTATGTTAATTTCTTATAATGAATCATTACTTATAAACTTGATCAAACAAACCGAAAGTTATTTTTTGTATTTTATAATATTTGTTTATAATAGATGATTTATTCTACATAACCTTCTTTTCGATTCTCCTTTACTTTCATTGCAATTTATACAAATAGCAGCTGAAAATTAAAAATGTCAATGACTAACGATCAGAGATTTATTTATGTTATACAAAACATTCTTCAACAACAGTCTTATTTTAATGAAATTTATTTTGTCTAATATAATGTGAGAAGCATATGATTTAATGAATATATGAATTTTTGTTATATTAAAATTTATATAACATTTTAATTAACTGCCAAACTCAAAGTAGTTTAAAACAATAAGTTAACGGTGATTAATATAAAATATAAATTTTAGTTTTTATATTAAAATTTTATTTTATATTTTAGTAATACCATTAGTAGTTTAGTAATACGGTTTATTTCTTAGTATTAAGAATGATAAAACAATTTTTGTATAAAAATGAATAAAACTGAAATAAAAAAACATTGTTCATAACATAGTTATAAGCATAATCTATATACTAAATTATATAGATAATAATACTAAATTTTGTATTTTTAATTAAATTTGTAGACAAGTTCATTCGTCAATGTATCGCCATGTACCGGCCATTATCAATGTTATTTATTATACTTAATTGTTACGCATTTCATTATTTTAACAATTTTGAATTCACTTTTTAAGTTCATCGTCAAAATCATTGAATCCATATAGGATTGCGTCCATTAAAAAATTTTAATTATAATTAGATTTTCATTTTTAATTTTCAATTCTAATTTCAATTATAATTTATAATTATAAATTTATCCTTTCATTGTCATTATAATACATGTTAATCACACATTTATAATATTAATAATGAGGATGTTGATATGTAGAGTGAATTTTAAATAAAAATTCTAAAATTTGTATAAACTAAGTATAAATTTTGAACTCATAAATTGTAAATTCAAGGAAATTCATGTAAAAATAAAACAATAAAAAAATTTTAATTGTAGGCTTCATGAGTATGAAAAATTTCATGAATAATTTGAAGAATCTTCCAATGATACTGTTTTAATGATTTGTTTGTATAAAAATCTTGTACAAAAATTTCTATCAATAAGAAAATTCTAATAAAAATATTAATATTTATAATTTTAATTTTCATTTTTATTAAGTATTAACTAATAATCATTTTTTATTAAATAAGAAACTTTACTTCCTTGCTGCAACGAGTACAAGTATTCCATTATACTTGCTGTTCAATTCTCCTCGAAGCTTTCCATTGTTTATCTCATACCTCAAGTACTTATTCTACATATTTTGCTTATCTGCCTGACACCACAATATCATAATACCCTATCTAATAATATTTTTACCGATTCCCGTTTTTTTTACCTATATACTTTGATAATAAAGAATATTAGGATATTAAAATATAATTATAACGATAACACAACAAATTAAATAATATATATTTATTTATTTATTTACCATAAATGGCTTACATTGATATCGACACAAAGACATAATTCAAAAAGTAAAAAAATTCCAGTTATAGTGTTTGCCGATATAAATACTATCTGAATAATTTTAAATAAAATAGAACTATCATACATTACTGTATAAATAGTATTCATTACTCTTTTTAAAGGTAAATATATATATATATATATATATATATATATATATAAAGACTAATGATATTTTTAAACATATTTAAGTAAATGTTATTAGTATGAACAATATTTTAGTTACGATAAAAATCATGTTATAAAATGTTTTACATTACAATCTGCAGAATAAAATGATTGTAAATAATTTAATAAAATAAATTCTCAAATACATTCTGTTCTTAAAACTTTCATTAGTTTTCCAATTAAATTATATTCGGCCTCTATTTTTATATTAAAAAATATTTTAAAATTATAAAAAAAAATGTAATAATTTAAGAAGAAAAAACTTTATAATTTCACACTTATGAAAAAAAGATTTTATATCGCGTTATAAAATTTGTACCGTATTGTTATACTGCCGTTGCTTTAAATATTTAACTTGATATAACATAAATGGTAAGCAGTTTAGAATTATTAAGATTGTAATAAATATTAATATATCTATAAAAAATTTTAATGATATTTATATTAATATATTAAATAAGTTTTTTCTGCTTATCAGTTTAAATTTATTGCCGATTAATTAAGATTAGTAGGTTTGTTTATATGTAACATATTTGATAACTATGGCTCAGCTTATTCTGGTTAACATTAATAAGATTCATAAATCTAATATTTAAATATAATTGATTTATAATTTCTAAGTATAATTTTCACATACATTTCAATTTAATTTTCTTTCTTTACTCATAAATCTTGCTGAAAGAATTATAAAGTTTGAATTTTATCTAGATTATAGAAATGTAGATTAATCCGAAATTTTATATATTTTTATTTCATTCCATTTTATATTAACCATGTTTATTCTAATGTTTATTTTAATTATATTAACAAAGTAATTTATGCAAAACGTTATAGTTTAGGATTCATATATATTGGGCTTATTATCATATTTATCTAAGCTATCATTGACATTTGAGATAACAATTTAGAGCATATACAAATATGAATTGCTTATTACCTTTTTTCCTATATAAGGCATTAAAGAAAAAATTATTTTTATATATAGAAATTCAAAGGCAATCATGAAATTAACGATTATTTTATTCGGCTTAGTAGTATTTACTGGTAAGTTACATATAAATACTTTAATTATGTACATTTATTTAAAAAATGTTTATCTACAATTTATATTTAATTACTAATAATTGAGTATAAATTAATAAGAACCTATATTCTATCATTATAGAAATTCTATTTAACATACTATGTAGATATCATAATGTATATACTGTTTATATATTATATTTTTTGCAACGTAATTGTTTATATCGTTTTATAAATCTCAATAATATAAACATTCAGACAATATATTTAATAAATATCTATCTTTATGTTATTGATTCGTTTAATATGTAATTACATTTATGAAATTTTGCACTTGCTGTTACGTAAAACTTTTACCGCAAATGAAATCCAAAATAATAAAAAAATAAAAAGACGTATCAATATATTACATTATATTAATTATTAAAATCATACAAAAATTACTAATACTATGCAATTAATGTTTTCAAAATAGTTTTAGATAATGTTTTTTGGTAGTTTATCAATTTGGTCAATATTAATCTAATGAAATTTTGCAAATTTATTGTCAGATGACAATATAAAAACTCTATAATTTTTATATTTCATATCTTATCTAATAAAATTGTATTCAATATAAATAATTTATGCGAAACTGAGTTTCTCTTATTAATGTGCCAATTTACGTAATATTTATTTAATATTTTTAAACGTATAAACAATTTACTTATTTTTATTTTAATTTTTATATCGCGTTACTGAATGATTGATTAAAAATCAATATTTTATTCATTTTTATCTTATAACATATCAGGTATTGTAGTATAATAAAATATAAAAATAATTAACAGTACTTATTATAAATTGTTTACCTAAATAGTACAAACGTTTGCCTACTTTTCGTAATAAAATACTTGAATATATAAATTGTATTAATACATACATTAATATAACGCAATTTCTAATTTAATACAACTATTTTAACTATTTTTAAACGTTTTCATATTACTAATTATATAAATATTTGTTCCTATTATTTTAGTTATTATGTAAAAATAGTTCACGCAATATTTATAATTTTTACATGCGATAATTATCTTTATCTAAATAATATTCAACGTGTTCTGTTCCATTATATAATCTACGCTGAATTTACTATTAATTAAAGTAATTAAATAAAACATCTATTATTAAAAAATATATAAAATAACAATTACTTTCCATAGGTTCACTGGCAAAGGATATCAGAATAGTAGGTGGTGAAAATACAATCATCCATAATGTTCCACATCAAGTATCAATAAGAATTTACGACTTAAATCAGCATTTTTGCAGTGGTTCAATTATAACTCGGTATCATATACTTTCAGCAGCCCATTGTTTCAATGACATGAACAATGATTATACGAACTTAAGAGTATACATTGGAACTAATAGTCCTTATGCAAATTCTGGAGTCAGATTCAAAATCACTAAGGTTGATATTCACCCTGAATTTACTGGACGTATGACTCAAGATGAAGCATGGATTCATGACATCGCTGTTGTTACTGTACGTTCATAATAGTTAAATAATATATTTTAATAATTGTAATATTCTAAATTTCCTAATATAATGTTATCAGATATTTCTATTTTATTTATTTTATTTTCTATTTTTAGGTGGACAAACGTATAAAATTTCAACCATACCAACATAAAATAGACCTTCCTACTGATGAAATAGTTATTGGGAGTGATGCAGTAATTACTGGTTATGGAAAATTGAATTTTTCAGCTGAATGGTTCCCTGACCAAATACATAAAGCTGTACTGACAGTAATTGACATAGAAACCTGTATGAATCAACTTAACCGTCGAATTCATGATACGCAAGCTTGCTTATATAAAGCAAAAGGAATCGGTGGATGCTATGTAAGTGTTCAAATTCGAATTTTCTATTTTTTTTTTTTCATAAGTATGTTAATTTACAGTTATTATTTTTCTTTAATATTCATTTATAATTACAAATAGTATTTTAAGTACGAATATAATTTTTGCCTATTATATTATATACATATTTAGATTGAAAATAAACAAAAAAGTATTTTCATATTTATCTACAAAACTATAAATGATAATATGATTTGCTTTTATAATATTCAACTAATCTTTTCAAATTACAAAAACTTATCACTGATAGTTTGAATTTCAAAATTTAGATTATTTTTTGAGGACCATAGTGTGCAATTACTTAATATATATTTGAGTAGATAAACATGTGTGTAAATTTTTTACAGGGCGATAGTGGCGGTCCAGTAGTTGCCAATGAAAAACTTATTGGCATTCAGTCGTGGGTTATTCCATGCGCCCAGGGTTACCCTGATGTATTCACAAATGTTTATTCCCATTTAGATTTCATAAATTCCATTATTGGAAGTACTTCGACACCCAGGTCCTAAATTTAAACTTTAAGTTTCCTTTAAATATCAAATGGCGTTTTATATTTATACTGATAATCATTTATATTTGTAACTTTTTTTTATTGTATTTCAATTATTAATTTTTTTAATTATATTGTACATTATAAAAAAAGTATTTTCACACGGAGAGTAAATTTAGATAATTATAAAATTCATTGAACTATAATAATATTTTTAAGAAAAGAATATAATTGTAATAAAAAAAATAATTCAATATACAAATGGTAAATATACAAGTGGTAAATATGTATATAAATAATTAAATATTTTTATTTATATATTTTTAATGTCTTGTAAAATAGAATGATTATACTATTATTTAAATATTAATAAGTATTATACAATATTATAAAGATCATAATAATATGTATTTATATGAATCTGAAGACATTGAAAATAAAATAATATAATATAATATCATGTAATATCTTTAGAACATTTTGATTTTTATTTCATTTGCAACTGGCGTTTCTCTTCGCCGCCAATCTTTGCGCAATCTTTCTTCCGCTTATATTATATAATCTGTTACTAGCTGAAATATATAATTAATAGAAAAATTTAATATATATTATTGGTATCAAACTTATTTTTTAATACCTTTACTCCTTTGTGTTCCTTATATAAATTTAATCAGAAAATTTTACATTTTCGAAAAAAAATCTTACGCTCTTTGTCTGGGATCAGACTAAAAGCCTCCCTGTGATGGTGGATGGAGGCTTGCTGGCAAGTGGAAGGGACAATGCAATAATTCAACACTGCCTTTGAATGTAGTGTTTTTCCCATTATTGAATATAATAAATATAATAAATAGTCAGTGGTCTATGGATGTCGAATTGAATGTAAGATACAATGAATAGATGAGAGTTTCTTCAATTAATATGAGCGACAAGAATTCTGTAAGTGTATTCTTGGTAGCTTAGTGCTTGATTCTCCTACTCGTAGTTATGAACTAGTGGTGGTAGTGGGAGACTCGCGCTGATACGGGGCAGCGATGGTGCCGCCTTTGCCGCTGGCGTGAAGAACTGCAGGGGTTGAGTGGGGGATGCCTGTGTGACGTCACTGGTAGGGGGCAGCGATGATGCCGCCGTTGCCACTGGCGTGAAGAGCTGAGGCGGTCTAAGTGGGGGACGCTTGTGAGACGTCACTGATAAGGGGCAGCGTGGTTCTGTCGTCGCCGCTAGCGAGATGAACGCTGTAGCGGTTTGATGGAGGGAGGATATCCGTGTCGTCACTGCTTGACGGGTGGGAGGATTCCCCGTACCGTATACCACATATTGGTATTGCTGCTTACTTAGTAGGTGTGAGCCGTGTATTAGCGATCCGTAAGAACGTGTGTAATAGCGTAGCTTACGTGCGTAGTGTCGGTCTCACTTGCATTGATGATAGGTAGAACGTGTGTAATAGCGTGGCTTACGTGTTTGACGGCGATCTCAGTTGCATTGATGATAGGTAAGAACGTGTGTAATAGCGTGGCTTACATGTGTTGACGTCGATCTCTGTAGCAGCATTGGTAGGCCATGTGAGCTTGGCTTCCGTTGAACTGCAGTCGATCTCGGCAGCGTTGATGGGCCGAGAGAGCTTGGCTTCCGTTGGGCTGGAGTCGATCTGTGCAGTGTTGGGTGACCGAAACTAGATTGGCTTACGTTGAGCTGGAATCGGTCTGTAGAACAGCGATCCGATCTTGATGAATGCTTGATTGAACTAGTAAGAGCGTGAGAGCGTCAAGCGCGTCTCCTTAAATATCCTAGTACAGGCTTGCGATTCCGGTGAATTCTGGATCACTCTTATCAAGCTGATTGTTAGAGTGACATCACTAGAATCTAGCCTTGAAGAGTTTGTCGGCCCTTGTTAGTCGGAATTGTAATGTAATATTCGACTATTTTGAGTAGTGAAGTTTCCCGATTTCGTAGAATTGTGTTTATGACTCGGCGCGCAAATGTTTCTACCTAAGCACAGGTGTCTTTATCTCTCCCACTTATTTTACCGCGTAAAATTGCTGTAATCCGTAACACACTTCTTTAAATTGCATTATAACTTATTAGTAAAAATTTTTATTATAAAATATTTAAGTGACAGTTAATATTAATTGTACTATTATCCATATTATTCTTATAACGTTTATTAATATTCTTCATTGCTTTTTTTTTAGAAGAATGTTTTTTTTAAATAAATATTAATAATACATATTCTTGTTATAAAATTATTATATTTCGATATAGAATATTATTATTTATTTAAAAGCTATATTTTTCATTTCTATACTTATTACCTAATTCAGATATTTTATTCTAAGTTAGACTTTAGTCAGAATGTTACATTAATTTAATTTTTGAGTTTGAAGAATCTAGCTATTAGATTCATTTTTACAATTCAAAATTAGACATCGCAATTACTAAAATACTATTCATTCTATTCATTTACTATTATAATGTTATAATATATTTATCCACATAAATAGTATAACATTTAATCTTATTTTTTCATTAAACAATATCACAACTTTAATTTTTTTACTACAATTTATATGTATGACTGTAAAAATATAAAAGCCAATATATTTAACTATAAAAATCACGAAAAATACAAACTACCAAAACTTATATTGCGAATATTTCAATTTTACTATAATAATATCCTTTGTATATAAATAGTATTATTTTCATTATATAAATATATATCTGATATAAAATATTGATTTTAACTTAGAGAAACTATAAAATGTAATATAAAATAGAATTTTTTTTAAAACATACTATCAAACTGTTCGAGATTGAAGCCAGTTTTCAATACCGCCGATTGTCGGCATCGCCGGCCTTTTAGATCTCAGATTTTTGTAAACACTTGGACGAGAATTTTCGTATAATTATTATGTTTTGGTTTCAAATGGCCCGTAATGTTTATATGATCTTCGGGTAATAACATCGCCCGGAAGTTTCTATCGTTATTACGTCTTATTTTTTCATTCATCGAATTCACGAAACATCTAGATTTTTCTTTCAGCGCCTCATGTAATATTCCAGTGTAGCAACGACGATGATGATGTTGCCAGCTAAGTGAGCCGCCGCGTGGATATATAAGGCTAGCATGCGGCGTGCCTCGCTCTCTTGCTGAATCACCCTTGCAGAAGCTACTTCTTCAAGGGGGACACGCCGACCACGCAGAAAATCAACATACCTTGTCGACAGTGTCCAAGGTACATCTCCTTATATTAAATAAACTAGTCGCACACGCGCAAAAACACGCTTCAGAAAACTGCCTTTAAAGAATCGATTCGGAATGAGTACGCACTCTCGAACTAACACTTCGAACACCGTACAGCCCCTTAAACAGTCGACACAAGTGACGCAATACTTATATTACATTGTCAAGGCTAGACAACAGTTTATAAAATAATCGACTATAAATACATTTTCATCAAGTCCTTCGAAGCTCGAAGGCTTGTCATTCATGACTCTTGTGTGTGACTAGTCCTTTTCTACCGCTCTCATTATAAATAAAGACATAATTGATTACGCACCAATTTCCATCAAGACTTACACTCTATCAAGTATGATCATTCTTTCTACCAAGCATACTTGATTTGAAACACCATCTTCTCATGCTCTTTCATGAGCATGATCGACAACACAGGCTAATAGTTACAACAGCAACATAACCTCAACTTTCAAAATACACAGTAATATCCATAGAATCTACAATAAACAAGAACACAAGGAAACTCCCGCATTACTACAATAGAATAATAAAACTTCTCTCTAAAAAATAGTGCAATATTATAATAATTTATCAAATAATAAACATTGTTTTTTACTAAAAATACATAATACATAATATTTTTCAGCCCTTTCGCTTATTATTTCCTATTAAGTGATCAAGACGAGAGAATAATTCACTGAACTATTGAATTAGCAGTTCGAGCCATAAAACAAACCCTCAATAATTGAACACAAAGATATTATTAAAAAATTAATAATACAATGAATTATTAATATTTAATATATTAAATATATGAAATATAATTAAATATATTAACATAATAAAATGATATTATTCGAAATGTCATGCACTGTACCCGGAGAACCGCAACGTCGGGTAGCAGATCTAATGGAACGGGCCGGATAGCTCAATCGCTGGATATTCATCCCCGGCTACTACACTAATAAGCATCGGGAGCTTTACAACTTCCCACTTCTGCGTGTAGAAACTCACCGTCCAGAGCATAGGAACAAGAAGTAGAGGGAGATGTAGGACTTCCCATTTCTCTTCAGCGCAATACAATATTATAATGGCAAACATGGAAAATTTTGAAGAAAGAAAAGGCAATTAAAACTCCAAAGAACAGCAGGACTCCTAAACAAGCATCACTCATGAATGCTTCGCCCACAAGTTTACCCTTTAAGTATGTGAGAAAGGCATCCATTTAAGAAAACTACATTATTTTCTAATATTATGTATAACTGTATAAATATATTGATATAACTTTTTAACGTAACCATACTGTTATGGATTACAACAGTTTTAAGCGGAATACAAAGTGGGAGAGGTATGAATGTGTGCAGCATTGTTTGCTAAACATTGGCCAACAGACTCAACGAATGCTTCTAACCGAAAAACTCGAGCATACGACTATAATTCCAAGAAATAATAACAAATGAACCCGACAAAGCTATGCCCTATTGCCGTCACGATAAATAGCGTCATAGTAACAGTCACCGATGCGCTATCGGCGCATCCAGTTCGCACGAGAATGTGAAAGGAGTTGCACGTGCCGCGATTGCCCTGCTAGTACCAATCATGCACTCTTCACATCGGGATCGCTATCCTCCAACCTTGCCATCGCCATTGGGAGGCCATGGCAAGCATCAAGCAACCTAAGGAACTAATAGCGATGCCACAACTATACTAGCACCCACGCCTCCGTAAGCAACGCAGATACTCGTTCCTTACTACTTCTTATAGTTAACAAGGACCCATCACGACAGGACCGCCACTACTCTACACTCGCGGTTTACGCCCGCATCGGTTCCTGCCAACTCAAGTAAGATGCGACCAGACGCTCGTTCTTACCATCCCATCACGCGGTTCCTGTCACAAAAAAAAAAAATGAGTATCAATAGTAAGCGTTGCCAAGTTACATAAGGAATACCATTGGATAATTGACATTATAAGAAATCTCCACACTCCTTGCCCATGTTAACTTAACCACAATCACAAAACCACCCCACATTCTACCAGTCCTGCCAGCTCCCACAGAAGACACCAATTCTAATCATCAATGAATTGATTATGGCGGGCGGAATGTTACGGATTACAACAGTTTTAAGCGGAATACAAAGTGGGAGAGGTATGAGCGCGTGCAGCATTGTTTGGTAAACATTAGCCAACGGACTCAACGAATGCTTCTAATCGAAAAACTCGAACATACGACTATAATTCCGAGAAGAAGGGGAATCACGCTCCAGGCCATCAAGAACACACGCACAGACTCATCGCCACCACTACTACTGAAGAAACACAAATATATTCACTATATCATACACTCATCCTAATAATTAATAGATTATTAATTACTCATTACTTATTATATTAATAAAAGTAACGACTACAAACACAAAGGACTGTATTAAATAATTGCATTGCCCCTTCTACTTGCCAGCAAGCCTCCACCCACCATCATAAGGAGGTTTTTAGTCTGATCCCAGACACATACAAATATATAATCACCTGTAAAAGCATAATTATGCATTAAATATAATGTTTACTGCTTGAAATATCAAAAATATTATCGGGATAGTCAATTTTAATATTTATTTTAATAAATAAATATTTTCTTCCTATTTTAATTATTTAACGGATAATAAAAATTATTTAATTGGCTGTTTTGTAATATTGTACGAAACATAAATTTCATTTATTATAAATTTTATTATATTTACAAAGAATGCGTAATAAGTAGTAAATTTTCATTATTCAGATCATATACCACAACAACATTGCAGTTTCAATCATTATAACACCGGTAACTGTATCAAAAAGCAATAATGAATTTCCTCAACGCTGTAGGTATTCTGTTCTTGTTCTTCTGTTACAATACTTCACCATGAAAATGCCAAATCGCGAGAAGAAGGAAACAAAGGTAGCGACAACTCCTGAAGACCTATCACTCAAGAGAGGGAAAATCGTATAACCCGCAGCGTCGCTGCAGAGAGATTACCCGTTGAGCTTTTAAAAGCTCAAATTCAGTGAAGTCAAACTACGGCAATAATGGAGCCAGCAAAAAGGCTTCCGTCATCTCATTTGTATACATCCATTGAAGTAGTCCTAGAAGTAAAAGAACAATTTGAAGAATTACACAAGGCCTTCCACAAGGAGCACAACTATCTTGAGTTAAAATGGCCGACAACGTTAAGGAATCATCAATACTTGACGAAAGACGGCGCTAGGAAAAGAACTCAAAAATTATTCATCTGTGCGATTAGCAATCAACAGACTACGTCATCGATTAAATGAGTCAACAAGGACAACCACAAAGGCCGAAGAAATATCACCCATAAGGGGACAATCAAGGGAAGTGGCCTGTCTTCATAACGTTCCAGTTCTGCCATTCTCAGGTGATTATTATAGTCAAATCTCATCTATAACAATTCCTCTCCAATTCAATAATCACTCTATAGGGTCACTCAAATTCAGGACATTGCTGTAGAATGTCAATGGAATTACATTCCCGGTACATAGAGCCCTGCATACTGTGCGTCCCGAGGACTACGACCAGTAATCTTTAAAATCATTCACTATGGTGGACTGAACTACTATGAATAAACTCACCAGACTCGTGGCCAACTTAGCCGACGTTGAGCGATAAGCAATGCGATCAGGGGATTCAAGGATTTTTTTAGATAAAGATAGCTCAAGCTGCCTACGTTTCTCACGAAATCAAAATCCTTCATTCCTAGGCAAACTTGCCGACTACTCATGCATTCCACTATCTGACCACGTACATCGACGCCCAAGGAATTATCCTAGTTGGAGGAAGACTTATGAGATCATCCTTGGCATACGACCAAAAGCACCCGGAAATTCTGCCACGACAATCATAATTTTCAAATCATATATGATATATTCATATGATTTATATGATATATGATATATTCAAATCATATAATCATATCAAATCATATATCACATGCTCATGCAGATCTCAAAACATTACATGGATGCACCCAACTCACGTTGGCATACATATGTCAGCAATATTGGGTTCTTGGCGGACGATCTTCAGTAAAATCTCACACTCTACGATGCATTACATGTCCACGACAAAAGGGAATCCGTTCTTAAGAATTGATGGGCCAATTACCGTTGTCTCGAGTAATACCATTACAACGGTCCTCTAACACGGGTGCTGACTATGCTGGTTGACTATTTTATGCTATAAACACTATCTGCTGTACACCTTGAAGTAGTCAGGGACTAACAACAACAAAATTCATCGAGGCTTATCCGTTTGTAGAGGTATTCCCCATGCATTATACTCAGATTGTGGTACAACCGTCGCTGGGCCGGATAAATTTTTCAAAAAATTATTCTCACATGGTTCCCAAGAACATCATCGAATTGCAACAATACTTTCGCAAAACAGCTCTCGATGATAATTCAATCTGCCCGCTGTGCTTCACATGGGAGGAAAATGGGAAGCAATGGTGAAGTCCACGAAATTTCGTCTGAGACGTACAATCGGAGAGACCTTGCTTACCTTTGAAGAAATCACTACTCTGTTATCATAGATTGAGACAATCTTGAACTCTAGGCCTCTAGAGCCGTTGAGAGATGATCATGAGACTTATCGGCCCTAACACCAAGTCATTTTCTTATCAAAAATTCACTCACAATAATACCTGAATCGTCCCTAAATGATTTGGTCACATCAAGACTGTATCGATGGCGATGACAACGAGTTCAACGGTTTTGGTCACAATGGTAAGCGCATTATTAACAACGATAACAATCGATCTCCAAATAAATGGCATCATCTATAGAATGACATTAAGATCGATCCGTTGGTACTTATCACCGACAAGCATTTTCCACCTTGCAAGTAGTCTCTCGCTCGAGTAATAAACATTCATCCTGGCAAGGATGGGCTGACCAGAGTAATCAGAATAAAAACTGTTTCGACCACTATGGTTAGACCGATACATAAACTGGCAATACTACCAATCCCCGTCCAAGGAAATAATCATCAATAGAATTACTGATGTCGGGCCGAATGTTCGAGATTCCGAGAGAAACAAGTGCACAATCGCATCCATTGTTTATTGCACCATGACCACACCCATTGTTTCAACCACCACAGTCGCCTCCTTATTGTCAGTTAATAAAGCTGCCGCATGTATATTTAAGGCAAAAGCTAATCAACCAAGGCGGTAGTCAGCCGAAAACGAGTTACTCGAGCAATTGCATACACTCTCAGCAGAGCCGCTACGGAAAGTGCCAGTAACAGTTTCATATTAATGAGAATCTCGTACATGCTCCCAGCACGAAGTTGTAGCAGGCCGTTCCCACCCGTCCACACCACAAGATAGCAGGGAGGAGGCCAGCAATTGAGTTACCATTACTTGGCACTACACGAAGAAGTGAGACTTACGACCTCCTACCTTTACATTTAGTGCATGCTGACATCACGTGGTGGCAACCAAGAAATAGCAAGATCTCAGCGATTCCCTTTCATTATATTGTAGTTGTAAAATAAACGAAATACCAAGCACGAGAAGCAGATGTGTTTAATATTTAATTAATGCGCTCCCCTTCCACTTGTTCGCAACTTCTTTCCCCCACCAGGCAACTGGTAGCCATAGTCTAATTCTAAACACATAAATTAAAAACAAATAATATACACTACATTTTAATTATTTTCGTTTGAAATAATACATAAAAACAAATAAGCATTAGTATGAATAATTAAATATAATTAAAAATTACATAAAATAATGAAATAATAAAATATTAGTTAAATACGAATTAATAAAATTTTACATTTTATTAAATAAATTTTAATAAATATTTTCCAATAAAATTCAATAAAATTTTAAAGATTCAATTTTAAAATCTCAGTTTGAAGAAAAATATATATACTATTACATCTCATATGGTTTTTATCAAGATTATTAAATTATATCCAATGTAACAAAACAGCGAAAAATTACAGCATATTGCTATAATTTTTGTTTAAATATAAAAAATATTTTATTTCTACACAGATTCCATATAAAAACATGATCAATTGTCATTGGTATATATAAATATATATCTATTTATTTATTTAATTCTTTATTTGTGTGATTTATAGTGTGTAATTACATTCGACGTTTAATTTATTACTATGATACTATAAAAATAAATGCCAATGAATATAAATATAATAATACTCATTTTATCACCGAATACTTTAATAAATGTAAACATTATAAATTTGTATGATTTAATATGAATAAATGTGTGTCAATGTTCCAATTATACTGAAGAAGTAAATTAAAGTAAATATCAGACAGCATTAATCAAGTATGTCACGTGTATATATATTACCATCATACAAATCTATTATCATACTATTATCTTATTAGTATGTCAAATTTATATAAGTTACTATATTAATATATGAAATTATAAATATATTAATTAATATATTTTATATAATAATTTTTCTATATTATTTTCATTACTTTATATTTTTTTTTCATAAAGATTTTACTTCTCATATACACATTAATTTTGGCTTCTACTCTTAATTAAATTACATATCAAATACTAATATTATTTTAATTATATCTTTGAACTATTGGCCTATATATAAGCCCAAAATATCATTATGGCCATTATCATGTGTAAAATGAATATTCATGATGATCTATTTACATAAGATACAAGTTTGAATACATTAGCTGACTTCAAGTATATTATATAAGTCATTTATAAACTGTCGTGTATTATTATGAGTACATTAAAATTATATTAATTTTTTTCTTAAAAATTGTTTTTTTGACTTTCATATTTTGATATACAAGACATGCTAAAAAATACTTGCTTGTATATATTGATAAACCAATAATATATATTTTGCACATAAATTTCTAATATATCATTTTTTACATTGTATTTTTTTAAGTATGAAGATTTTTTGCAGAAAGTAAATATTTTCTTTTAAAATTTTATGCCATTTATTTTTTTTTTATTAAAAATATTGAACAATTAAAAAATTTTGATTTTATTTTAGTTGTAAAAATATTATTCTTATATGTAAATAAAGTTTGTTTATAGATTTATTAAACACGCATGAAAATATTTAATTAAATAACAAATATTCATTTTTATTTATTATTTCGATACACAATTATTTTTCAGCCTTTACTTAATATTTCTTGTTAAACTGATATTATCATATCATAAATTAACAAATACATTTCTTTCGGAATTATGTGAAGTAAGCACCTACTATATTTATAGTAAATAAAAATCTTATTTGCATAGAACTTTTGTAAGTGAAATGAATTTAGTACATTATATTTTGGATGAAAAAATGTTTCTTTCAAACATGTATGTTAATTCCACAAATAAGCAAATATTAAATGAACCAACATTCTCTCAAACGAAAATGTTATACATAAACGATTAAATAAAAGATAAATAACTTTAATGAAATATTATGGTAATTTTATCAGTCAACCACCGATATGTATACATATATAAAGCGATTGACAAAAACGAATTTTCATAGACACTTAAAATGCCAAAATGAGTTTCAAAATTGTGATTTATTTTTCTCTATTATTAAATGTTGGTAAGTTATCTTTTAAAAAAAAATGTATAACACATTTTTTTTATAATAATAAAATATAGTTAAAAATTATACTAAATAATGTTGCGATATTAAAAAATAAACGTATTTTAAACATAAGCAAATCTAAGATTTATCTACATTGCATTTATTAGCAAAAAACTATGAACATTGTATGATTGAATTAGAGTATTTCTAAGAATTTCAAAAACATTTTTAAAAAATTAAAAATTTTACAGGTGATATTTTAGTTTATTTAAAGGTAGTAAGAATTTATGACTGTGCTAAAATCAGTGAATTGCATTAACTAATATTTTATTATTTTAATATTTTGCAGTATAAAAGATTCGTGTTTATTATTATATGAAATATATAAAGTAATACAGATATAAAATTTGTAAAATGTGAATTGCCGTTATCGCATAATGAATTATTTAAAATATATTTATAAGACTTTTTTCATCACACTCATATAGAATAAAATAGAGTAGAATATAGTCTCAAAAAATAAAATAATAAGCTAAATTAAAAATGTTATATTTAAAATAACATTTATTATCTTACTTATGTTTTTAATTTTTTATAATTATAATTTATATATATATATATTAATATTGATTGTAATTTAATATAATAAATTTATTATAATGATAAATACCTACACACACACACACACACACACACACACACACACACACACATATATATATATATTCTTGTTTTTACTTTAATTTTTAATTTAATAAATAGAAATTAATATTTTTCTACATAATTAGACAGTTATTATTCATAAAGAGTAATCAGAATTAAATACATATTAGAATGTAACTATTAATTATGAAAATAGAATATTAAAAGAAATTCTTATATTCTTATTAAAATTTATTACTAAATTCATTTTTGATTAATTCCAATATATTTTATACCGGCATTTATTAGATTATCATTATGCAACAAACAATTTTTGGGATATTATACAAATTATTCTTAGTCAATATTAATCCAAGCAATAGAAAATAAAAATAATATAGAAATAAATTCAGTATATATCAACTATGTATGTTTAATCAAATCGTGGAAAAGAATTTAGTAATTTGCAATATATGGATTATTCGAGTTAATATTAAATGTTTAATATATTTAATTCATTTAATTAAATTATAATTTAATTTCGTTTAATAGTACGCGATGTCATGAATCTAAAGTTTATATAACATATATTGAAAAAATTAAGCTTTATTTTGTGTTCAATACCAATTCTTTAATCTTATTATTACACATATAATATTTAAAAGATTATTAAAAATTTTGTTTCGGGTTATAGTATGTAAATAAAATTATTATTTATTTTTAATTTAAATATATAATATTTTAGATATTTTACAACAATTTATATTGAAAATACTGAATATTTTTTAAGTTTTTTATGTATTTGCAAAACTAATTAATTTTCCTTAGCAGTGTATTTTTTATTCGAAAAATCAACTTATTAATCCTATGAGTAAAATTATGAATATAAGAAAATAAAAATAATAGAAAAAAAGCAATAATTAAAAAAAAATAGAAATAGTAATAAGAAAAAAATCCGATTAAGTTATATTTTTTATTTTATTCGTGCTTTGAAGATATTTCTTTTTTAGCTTTGAACATACTTAAAAGTTACTATTAAAATTTATGTGATTATCAGTATATTCTTACAATAATTCTATCCCCTATTATGGTTGTTTAAATTTACCAATAAATTTATTTTAAAAAATGAAAACTCTAACTCTTACTATCCATTTTATACGTCATTAATTTTTGAACTATAAATTATGGAGTTTTAAATCCTTAATATAAATTATTAAAAAATTCTTCCTTTTTATATTTCTTAATTAGAAATATTTATATTACTCTGTCAATTAATAATGTATATTATTCTATGACATTAATCCACAGTGACATATTAATTTAGAATAATACATCTATTAGAATATAATTCTTGCTTATTATTAATCTATGAACTTAAGTTCCTATTATATATTTTTATAAATAATTGTATATTGTATTCTAAAACCATCATTGTCTTATTATCATTATTAAAATTAATAAATGCAGTGTAATGGATATTTAAAATTTACATAGGTGTTTTCTGTATAAGGCAAAGAATTGCTGGAGGCGAAAATGCAGATATAGAAAATTTTCCACATTTAGTATCATTAAGATATAGTAGAAATAATAAGCATTTCTGTGGTGGTACAATTATAAGTCAGCATCATATTCTCACAGTAGCTCATTGCATGGAAATGGCATCTCATAATAATATTTTAATCTATTCTGGAAGTAGCAGCTCTGTATTAACTAATATAATGCCATACACGATAAAATTAGTGCATATACATCCGGATTATAAAGGAGAAGTAACATTAAAATATCAGCATGATATTGCAATTATTACAGTAAGTTTACATTTATATATTTTGCTATTCAAGATTCAAAGTATGCATATCAAACCGATGTATTATATTACTTGAATTTAACAAAATATTATTGGTAAAAAATCTACTTTGATACAATTTTCACAAATTTTCACAAAATTCCTAACAAAATTTTTTAATAATAATAATAATAATAATAATAACATAATACATATATATTGTCCGTTCTTGATTCACTTTCATAACAGAAGAACTCGATATTGCAATTACTAAAATTACATTTATTTAATAATTGTATTTGTATATAAATCATACATCACAAGCTTGGTAAATTATAGTTATATTCATAGATTAATGAAATGATTCAATTCAATGCACTACAACAAAAAATAAATCTTCCAACGGTAGATGTTGTAAATGGTGCTATTGCTATGGTTGCTGGTTGGGGAGTTATGTTTCATAAATCGAATATAATGTCTGATCAACTGCAAAAGGCTTGGATGGTAGTTCTCGACTCAACAACATGTCAAGAAGCTATTCCATTTGTTCATAAAGAACAAATATGTGCATACCAGAATGTAGGAGTAGGTGCATGTACAGTAAGTTATAATATATTATAAAAGTATATACAAGTCCATAATATCATAGTCTCACATCATTGTTATAATTAAGGTTTTTTGTTACTGTTATTATTATTTCATTTTCATAACTATGAAGATGTTTATGATTATATATATATATATATATATATATACGTATTTATTTATTTATTTATTTATTTTCCTACTTAAAATAAAATTCAAACAAAAGTTTCAATTGAAATTAACATTCGTTTATATTATATTTTACAGGGAGACAGCGGTAGCCCATTAGTTTCTAATAACGTAGCTATTGGTCTTGCTTCATACGCTATTGAATGCGCTAAAGGATTACCCGATGTATACACTAACGTTTACACCTACATAGATTACATAAATTCCATTATTCTCACAACGTAGAAAAAATAGTTAATTATTTAATTAAAACAGTTAATTGTAATATAAAAAATATATACAGTAACGTAAGAACAAGAAAGAATGCAATTTATACTACCTATCGTATAATTATCATATTATCATATTTAATTTAAATCAGTGTTACAAAGTTCCTCAAACTTGCCATCTATAATTTATTGTACTAATATAATGTACCTAAAAATTTAAGTTTAATACAAGAATTATAAAAGTTCAAATCAAACAAAATTATAGGAAAATTGAAAGTTGATTTCATGAACTTGGTTTACATGTTTACCATCTGCATAGATTTACGTATTTATTCACTAATAATCTGAGTGGTTGAAATTGTATATTTTCTAAATTCTATTTTCTAATGCATTTAAATTAATTTTGAAATTTATGTTTTATTTATTTATTTATTTTTCTATTTTAAGTAACTATTATAAAAAGAAAACGAATATTAATTATTACTATTGAAACTCTTGAAATCACTACTGATTACTATTCAAATTATTGATTCGAAAAATATTTCGAAAAAAAATTAATTAATCTATTTACAATTGAAAATTTAATAATTGGATCAGAATTTATTAGACTGAAAACATTGATTTTAATAATTATGTAAGGTTATTGAAACTACAATTAACGATTATTATAGGACAATCTTCATTTTTTAAATTATAAAATTAAGATTTTCGTTTATGTAGTTAACAAATTAAGAAAGTATAAACAACTAATGAATGATAAATTTATATAACAAAAAATATCATATTAGTAAATTTCAATTCATTATTTGAATAAGTAATAAACATATTGTATGTTATAAATAATATAATAATTTATGGAAATCATAATTGTATAATAAGATTTGTCGTAGATTGTATAATAAGATAATTTTATTGTATTTTCATGTTTTTTTAACTATTAAAATAAATTTCTACACTAAAACAAATATACGAATTATTTATATATTCTGTAAGTTCAAATAAAATTTATTTTATGATATATTATAGAAACGATATTATAGATTAACCTGTTCTGTATTAAATTAGAAATAAAAATATTTATAAAGTATATCGTCTTATTTTTGATAAATTTAAAGACATATTTTATTACAAACGTTTTAATTTTAAGTAACTAAAAACTGAAATTGTTCATTTTTTTAAAAAAGACAATTGTTTCCAAAAATTAATTAACTACATTATCTATTTGTTGAAAAATAACTGATTTATTTTTAATTCTAATTTATTAACGTTCATTGCAATTCACAAATATTGCTTTTTTCCATTTTTAAAATATTTTAAAAAATTCATTTATCATATATTTATAAAATTTTATTTCATTTTAAAATTCACGAATTACCATTTATTACTTATTATAAATTTTTTTCTATCAAGTCTTGTAACATCAAACATAGATATGCAACTGGGTTAGTCACATGATATTTATATGAGAAAAGTACATTTCGAAAATGATCGTTATCGTATAATAGAAATTCAATGAATATCGAATATCTATACCAACTATTCTTCAATTCCTTTAACGCACACTTAATGCTATCCTGAAATACTGACTTAAGTAGTAATTTAATATTAATGTAATAATTACAAAGTCTTATATTTAATTAATTATATTTAAATTTCCATACATTCTAAATTACAGATAATATAGTTCCTTCCAATCCATAACATTACATTATCTTAAAGTGTATGTTAAATATTCCGGCACTTTTAATCCGAAACTCATTTTTTCATTTTATGCTGATTTTTAAAAAGATATGTTGTAACTTTTTTTTATCATTTTCGTATCCTTTTTGAGTGTGATCCAAAGCATACACAATTACAACGCAATAAATCCCTTGAACATTTTGAATATTTACCATTACTTAAAAACATGATAAAAAATATAGATAAGATTAACATTATGAAATAAAAAAAAATATAAAAAATCTAATATATATAATTATATATTTTCCCAATCATTAAGTACTTGCTTAAATCTAATATACACAATGGTAAAAATTATTATTTGAAAATATATGTTCATACAAAATCTCTTTTCAATGATTAAGTTATTATCTTATAATACAAATTATATGATAACAAGTATATAATATGTTATTATGTACATACCAGAATAAGTTAGAGTTCAAAATACATTATTCACTTGACAAATATACAATAAATAAACGATCATACTATTATGTAATATGCTTTTATCACATTTATGTTATCTTTTTGTCGTATTCATGATAACAAATGAATACATAATTTCTTTTCATTTATAATAAAATTTGAATATATATAGATTAGATTTTTATTAAAAAATTCTGTTCATTCTGAATTATGTAAATAACATGTAAAAAGAAAATTAATTTAGTTATAACTGCATCAAATATAATTGAAACGTCAATTTCGAACAATTATTTTTCAAACATTGATTGAATATTGTACGGTACTGCTTTAACAAACATTCAAATATTTATGTCCATTGATATTATAAAATGATGATATGTATTGCAATATTAAATTTAATCTGAATATAAGCATAATGCTGTTTATTAGATATGATTAATATATTTAAATATCTTATAACATTTAGAACTACAAAGATTTTCTTACAAATAGAGAGATAAAACTGCATTATTAAAAATCATATTACTATTATATATTTTATCACTTGTGGAATAGGTTATTATTATCTTCTTTTTTATAGAATAATATTATTCAGTTTTGACACAGAATTAACAAACTGATAGAATTCACTACCGTCTGATATTATGCACTATTTAATGCATTATTTATTCGCTGGTTCGCTGTTATTTAATCTTATTTAATAACTAATATAATAATAAAATATAAAATATCTAATAAAATATCTATTTTATATAATGTTATTCAAACAGAATCATGAGATTACGAATTATCATTTTATTTTATTCCACGGTTTGTTTTATTTTATTTTATTTATTTTAATGGTAACTAAAATTTATGTTAAACAATTCGATAAATAGTACGAAGTATTTTTCATTTTCATGTTAAATTTAATCATTTGCTAAGCATAAAATATTTATACATAAATCTAAATGGAGAAATTTTTAAAGTTTATTAGCATCAAAATTATAATTAATATCTTTATTATGTATTTAATATATTATTCATTTAAATTTTTAATATGTAATAATAATTATACATAAATCTAAATACATAAAAATCAATTAAAATTCTTACCATGTAATTAATACTTTATTATTGTTGCTACCAAAAATTATATTTTATATAACATATAATATAATTTCAAAAAAGTAATTTCAATCAATTTTATACGTTCAAAAGAAATAAATCAAATAATAACTTAAAAATTTTTAAATATCAGATTAGGTTATATAAACATTAGATTGCATATATTTCATTTCTAATAAATATTATTCATTAGATATTATTATAAATATTATAATTAAAATATACATTATTTTACAATTCCAAAAAATAATCTATGTATAATATATCCTTATTGTATCATAATTATAATTAACAACTAAATTAATTTAGAGTCAAGATATTTTTCTCAATGTCTGTATAAATTAATATTGAAGTTTTTCAATTTTCTATGCCCTTTTGCTTTTTTCAATTTTTATAAGCTGAGTGGGTCGAAATTCTATTTTATTATTTCGTAATATTACGTAAAATTTATGTAGTCAATCGATTATTGAAAATTTAAAATCTGTTCTACTCATATTTTAAATAGTATTCAATATATTATTTTGCATTGATATTATAACTACTCTGAAAGTGTTACATACTCAATACTACAAATCTAATATATTTGTAAATAACGTATATCTAAATAAGATAATAAGTATTCAAATATATATGAAATAGGAATTTTCATAGGTGCACTGGCAAAGAATGTCAAGATAGCTGGCGGTCGGGATTCACATACCATTGTTCATCCATATCAAGTGTCAAAATAAGAATTGATAGTCAAATTTTACATTTATGCGGCGGTGTAAACGTCAGTCGGTACCATATTCTTTCAGTAGCTCACTGCCTACATTCATTAAAAAATTCTTCTAATACTCTAACAGTGTACATTGGAACGAGAAATCCTTATTCCACTTCTTATATTGCTTTAACAATTGCCGATATTAAAATCCATCCTTTATTCATTGATATAATAACGAGTAATAAAGCATGGATTCACGATATCGCTATTATCACGGTATATAAAAAATTAAAAATACAATGACAGTACTGTTACAACATTATTTTAAGACTATAAAGTACTATTGTTAAATAGTATTATTGTTTTCAAAAAGATTCATCCGACAGAAGATTGCACATTTTATGGTGCAGGAGTCGGCGGATGTTATGTAAGTCTTCAATATATTATAAATAGAGTTATAATTATCATTATTAAGTAATGTAGAACGCAGAGATAAATAATAACAATAATAATAATAACAACAACAATAATAACAATAATAATAATAATAATAATAATAATAACTGTATGCATCAATATAGCATATATGTATTCATTTACAGTTATTATTTTTCTTTAATATTCTTTCAATTTTCCTATTACATTGTAAACATTTATATATATTACGAAAATAAATATAAAAAAGGCTTTCCATATTTATCTATATTATGCTTTTATAATATTCAACTAATCTTTTCAAATTACAAAAATTTATCACTGATCATTTGTGTGCAATTATTTAATATATATTTGAGTAGATAAACATGTGTGTAAATTTTTTACAGGGCGATAGTGGCGGTCCAGTAGTTGCCAATGAAAAACTTATTGGCATTCAGTCGTGGGTTATTCCATGCGCCCAGGGTTACCCTGATGTATTCACAAATGTTTATTCCTATCTAGATTTCATTAATTCGAACATTCAAAATTTTTTACTCTAAGCACATTGAAATCAAAATTTCAATTAATTTGGATTATTCATTGGCTTATTATTATTTATTCAGATTAATGATATTAACATTATTCAACATTTTAATAATTTAACATATTATTACGTTATATACTAAATAATAATGCTCTTCTGTAATAGATAATAAATTTAGATAGATACATAATTATATTTTAATGGAAGATTATAAAATAAATGTTATAAATAAGAATATTATACATAAATGGAAGTATATAAAATAAATAAAAGTCAGTTATCACATTAAAAAATTTGAGAAATAATAATATAATACTCTTATAATATTTCGATACTACATTGCTGTATAATATTATTATAGTATAATACCATTATTATTTTTTAAATAATTCTATATATGTAAATAAAATAAAATAAATATAATTAAATATAATAAAACATAATTATTTTATTGTATTACAATCGGTTCTTTTTATAGTAATATGTTCGTTTTGTTACAATTTAACGAATTATATAAGGATAATACAAATTTTTCGAATGTAGAAATTTATCTGGAAGATAAATATTAAAAAAATGAATATTTTTAAAGAAACTAAGTTATGGAATATTGTTACCCATTCTTCTTTCACTAAACCAAGGTGTTGATTAGTCATGCGTAGTGCTGATTAAATTATTCATTATATGTGTTTTATAAATTTCATAGTTTTAAATAAATAATATTGTATCAATCTTTTATGATCTTTATAACTATTGATTATCACTATCGGTCAAAGATACTGTACTGATGTATAACAAGTTTTTTTTGGTAATATCGCCAAATATATTGAGTAAGATTTATATATATATATATATATATATATATATATAATTTTATAATGTTCTTATGTAACGGTATAGAAGATAACTAAACTGAAAATTATAACAAAATAATTATGTCACTTTGCCCAAATTTTATTTGTAATTTATTATTTAAGACCAATTCGCTGCTAAAACTTATTTATTGTAATTGGCTACATTTAAAATGAAAAATATTTCATTAAAACATAAAATCAATTGAATTCATGTTATTCAAAATATAATCGTTTTTATAATTGTTATAATGTTAAAAATTGTTATAAATTATAATACACTTATTATTATTATTAATATAATTGTTTTTTTACAATATGTGACTAAATAATTTTAATTTAAAAAAATATTAAAAAATTAGAATTTAACAATATTAATATAATTTTAAATAGTAAATTATTAAAAGTAGCGAAGCAATTTTAATTTTATTTTAATAAGAAAATTAAAACATATAAAAAATTTATTATACTACGAGATATCTGGGAAAATTATTAAAATTTGGATAATTGTTATATTGATTAATTTTTTATTGATTATTACTTTTGTTATATTATATCAGAGGTTATAAAATATCAGAGGTCTAATAAAATACAATAATTAATATGATAACAAAAAATTCATGTAATCCATGTATATAGTATAAGAAAAGATTAAGAAGCGAAATTAAGATTTCAACAGTACTTTCATACAAAAATTAACATTTAATATTATATATGAACCATTTAATATTTCGGGTTTCATATTATTTATGTAATAAATAAGTATAATAGATAATAGATAAAAATATAATAGATAATGATATAAAAATCCTGCTAATAGATATCAATATAATAATATTACACTATAGTAATTAAAATTCGGTATTTTGTTCACCAACCTTGTATAATTGAAGTATACCTATAATCTTTATTTATGTTATTTAATACAAGTGATATTATACAGCTACTTATACAAATTATGTTACGCAACATATTTAATGAAAATTTTATTAGATTAATAGTAAACTGATTAGATTTGTTAAATATATATCGAGACAATCTCTTTGAAAAAATAATGTAATTCTAGTATATTATTCTATAAAACGAATGAATTCAATCCTTTAAGGGTAAGTGCAAATTATTCAATTCAGAAACAATGCTACAATAGCTACAACCTATGCATAAGTTTTCCTACAAGTTTTCCTACCATAATTACACTATTATTAAGAAAAACTTGTAAATTGCATGAAAGCAGAATATACGAGGGTACCACAATTCCTTTGTTTCCGATCTGACAGGTTTGTTTTTAGCTTTTTTTAAAGATTGTATAATTTTATAAATTATAGATTTACAATGCTATTCTACTCTACTCATTACATACAGCGATCTACATTATCAACCAGAACCATCAATCATTCGAATAGCAAGTCATTAAATTACTACTCCCAAAAAGAAATACTCTAAACATGGCATTTTTAATCTCGATAGTTCGAGAATTAAATTTAAATTTATTCGTATATTTAACTGTAAATTACTTAGAAGAGTTAGTTTAGATATAAAATCACAATATTTTTATATGTTAAGTATAAGTTAGTTGTAAGCTTTCGACGACACATTGTATAATTTATATAATTTCACTATATTATATATCATTTATTATAATATGTAATTTATTGTAATCTGTCATTTTCTTGTAATTTCATTGTAATGACTTTATTTTATCGTTTTTTTATAATATATTACAAGATTATATTATCTGAAAAAATATGTTTATCTCGTCAAATTTTCTATCAATCTATAATTTAGACATAGTTATCTACCCTTTCTATAAAAAAATTAAGGATCATCCATCCAGAATTATATCAGAATCCAGAAAAACATGAAAACTGGCATCGATCAGGATAAAAATTCTTGAACTCGGTTCTGCAGCAATAAAAAATTTTTTTTTATATATTCCTTAATTCATTAAGCCCATAACCATCTTTTATAATTATAGCATTTTCTATATTTTTCTGTAAAATATTTTTGGATGTCTTAATATATTTTAAAATCATTTTCTCCCTTAGATGAATTTGCCAATATCACGGGATTGTAATTTTGTAATCGCATAATCTTTTATCTATATTTAATAAGATATTCATCTAAAATTTCAATCGCTGAAACGAAGAAGGATGATTCTCTTTCTAAACAAAAAAGAGGACCTTATTCAGAGTAACGTTTAGATCGTTGAAATAGAATATTCTATGTTGGGATGCTTCGTTATACTACGTTATCTACTCTTCTCTATTATTGCCATTTGACTTTCGTTTTTCTTTCTAGACAATATGTTTTGTGGTTATCATACTATTATGAACTAAATTTAATTTCTTTCTTAATTTTGCCATTTTATTCACATTTTCAATTTTTTTTTTTAGTATTATGTTCCTGTAGTATTAATATTTTTATGTTTGCAATTCAGCAAAAATCTCAGCTTACTGTAAGGTGAATACTACTGAAACATATTTGCCTTATTATGTTTTGGGTTATTAAACTATAGACTAAAATCGTATTTATACCTACTATTTGATTAAAATTTGATAAAAATTTATGAAAAAATGACTAATATAATATTGAATTAGGAATGTCTTGTTATCTTCATTACGACATCACTTTTATTATAAAAGCAGCAAAATTCAAATTTATTTCTAGTAAATAATACTAAGACGCTATAATGATTTTGAAACTTATTATTCTTTTGTGCATCGCATTAATTACTGGTGAATAAATTTATATTATTTTATTTTAAAAAATCTATTTAATTACATTAGATATTGTAAGACATAGTTTTCTTTTAAATTTCATGTTTAACCATACTAAATCCTGATTGAGTTTTTTTTTAATTTATTGATACTATAATTTATATTTTATCAAATTTTTTATTTCTATGCTTAATATCTTATAATTTGACATATTTTAAAAGCAAATGATTTACAGATATATTGATCTTATATTGAATTCTATGTAAAATAATAATTTTTTATTTTAATAGCAGCTTAAGATAAAGTAAGTTTAAGGCAATAATTTATATAATGGACATTCAATAAAAATAATATAGTTAATACTTGGGATATAATAATACTATTACTGGATATATTTGTATATATATATATATATATAGGAATAAAATTTTTTTCATAAAATTCATAGTTTACTCTTATGCTTCTTATTTAATTAATTAATATTATTTCAGTAAGTTAAAATATGTTTCATTATATTTTTCTAAAGCCAATGAATTTATAAACATGTATCAAGTGAATAAGGAAGCAGCCACCTAAGATTTTATTATTCAATTGCTTATACACCTAAGTAGATAATTATTTCAATTAAAAATAAGTCTAATAATTAATATTACTTCTCATAAATGGAGTCAAAGAATAATTATAATGATTTTAATGAGAGTAATAAAACTAGAAATTTCATTATTACTAGTTCAGTATAAATAGTTATTTAAATTGATACTTTCATAGAAAAAAAGCTTGGTAAATAACACATTATTTTAATTATATAGTTATTTTTAACTATTTATTAGTTATATACAAGACATTTTCACTTAAAAAATCATTATATTTAAAATTTTGTTATAATAAAGATATAATCATAAATAATTATAAAATTATTTATTAAAGACACTGCTTTTTATTATTGTAGGAGGATTGGCGAAACGCGATCGATTACTTAGTGGTCGCATAGTTGATATTACCGAATATCCATATCAAGTGGCAATAAAAATAATCACTGATAATTCGTTCGTTTGCGCGGGTGCAATTATTAGTAATCATCATGTGCTTACAGCAGCCCACTGCGTAGCTGACAGATATAATTATTATGATGTTATGAGAGTTCAAATGAGTAGTAGCTCTGTAAATTCAGCTTCAGCAATACTTTATGAAATTTTGAATGTTGATATACATCCTGCATATGCACATTTACCACCAGACGTAGAATCATGGGTACATGATATCGCTGTTCTTACGGTACGTTATTATAATTTAAACCTCAGAGATATTATATTTTAAACATCATTCGGAAATGTATCATCAATTTTACATTTTTATTTAAATTTTCTAGAAATTTAAATTTGTTTTTGAAAAATTTTGAAAACATACTAAGAATTATAATGCAAAAAATTAAATGTATAAAGAAAATAGCA